GAGCCCAGCAGGTCGAGGCTGCGGTGGCTGGGAGCGGCCACTGCACTCCAGTCTGGGTGACAGAGTGAGACTCCAACTCAAAAACAAAAAACAAAAAACAAAAAACATAAACTAGCTCAATGATTTTTATAAATTGCATGTTAAATGATATTTTTGAATAAATACTAAAATACATTATAAAATTAATTTCACCTGCTTCTTTTTATTCATTTTTTTTAAAAAAACACCTTCTAGAAAATTCAAAATTACTAATGTAGCTTGCATTGTAGTTCTCTTCACCTGTAACTCTACAGCTCTAAAGAAACACATTTGAAGGAAACACTTTGCAGATTTAGAAAGTCTCAAAAGAGGTGAAGGAAGCTGCCAAAGGTCATAGAAGAGAACTACCTCTTCCACTTCTACCTCCAAGTGTATCATTTGAAGATATAATATACTGCTTCCTCATTTGTGTGTGTGTGTGTGTGTGTGTGTGTGTGTGTGTGTGTGTGTGTGTGTGTTGAATCAAGGTTTTATTCTGTCATCCAGGCTGCAGTGCAGAGGCACAATCATGGCTTACCACAGCCACAACCTCCTGGACTTAAGAAATCCTCCCTTCTCAGCTTCCCAAGTTGCTGAAATTACAGGCATGTGCCACCACACCCAGCTAATTCTTAAAATTGCTTGTATTTTTAAAAATTAATTTACAAGCCGGGCTCGGTGGCTCAGCCTGTAATCCCGCGCCTTTGGGAGGCTGAGGTGAGTGGATTGCCTGAGCCAACGGGTTTGAGACCCGCCTGGGCAGCAAGACCTCATCTCTCCAATAAATCAAAAAATCAGCCGGGCGTGGTAGCGTATGCCTGTAATTCCAGCTACTTGGAAGGCTGAGGCGGAAGGATCGCCGGAGCCCAGCAGGTCGAGGTTGCAGTGGCCGGGAGAGGCTACTGCACTCTAGTCTGGGTGACAGAGTGAGACTCCAACTCAAAAAAAAAAAAATTAACTTACAATTAAAGTATATTGAGACCCATGCTTTTTTTCCCCAAAGTAATGCAAAATTTTTGTATGTTAGGTAATATTTTGTGCACTTGAACTAATAGGTTAAGAAATAATATATCCTCATACTAATCAGTCAAAAATTTTCCATTTCAGATTCCTCTGTGAGCCTTGTCACTATACTGGCAGAATTCTGACAGCTGCTCCAGTGATAGATATGCTCACTAATCACAGGCAGAATATCTATGTCACATATATACCTGACACTCTCGAGAATTATACTCCACTTGCCTAAAGCCAGCAGTTTTTCTTCATGAATTCACTGAATTGTCTCCTCTTTATATAACCTCTGCCTCCAACCCAAATTAAAAGTTTCATATTCCAAGCTAATGAAACAAAAAAATCAGCCACACACCATGATAAATATTTCATAAACTCCACGTCTTTCACAAAACACCTTATTTTAACAAGGTGAAATAAAACAAAACCTGGGTCTACATATGGTGCAAGTTAAGCAAAGTTTTGATTCTGCGTGTTTGAACTATGGATGATACCACTGACAAAAGCAATTAGTTCAAAATCAGGCACCAACTCTAGAGTAAATACTCTTATTTTAGGCACACCTAGTGCAAGTGACTGCTGGACACCCAAGTATAAGTGACTAGTACATTTGTGAGTTACAGGGAAGGACATGAGAACTGCAGTTAAGAATACAGATAAGGGGCCGGGCTTGATGGCTCAGCCTGTAATCCCGCGCTTTGGGAGGCCAAGGTAAGTGAATTTCCTGGGCCTGCGGGTTCGAGACGCGCCTGGGCAACTTGGCGAGACCTCATCTCTATAATAAATCAAAAAAAAATTAGCCAGGCATGGTAGCGTGCACCTGTAGTTCCAGCTACTTGGAAGGCTGAGGCAGAAGGATCGCCAGAGCCCAGCAGGTTGAGGCTGCGGTGGCCGGGAGCATGCCACTGCACTCCAGCCTGGGCAACAGAGTGAGACTTCAACTCAAAAGAAAAAAAAAAAAAAGAATATAGATAAGGTCCCTAAGAGGAAAAAATACCTAACACACAAAAGAAACAGGCAGCCTTGCGACATACCCATTAATTATGGTCTATTTAATAAGAAGATGCTAGAAAAGACTGAATGAGAAAAGTAGAAGCAGATAGTCCATGTGTCAGGAAGGAGGGTAACAGAGGCATCAGATACTCAACACTGTCACCATATCTGGCCATTAGGAGTTTATTAGGATTGTACCAAGCTTCCCTTACTCATCATTCTGGATCTTGTCCCACTCGACTGAAACTACTTTCTTGAAACCACCACCTACTTTCTAGTATCCATATTCAGTGATAGTCTTTTAGTCTCTCCTTAAAAATTAACTACTGCTTCTTTCTTGAGGCTCCTTTTCTTGGTTTGTTTACTTGACAGAACAGAGTGCTATTTGTCCTTCTGTTTTTCCATCTTTTCATTTTCCTCTTGGACTTTGGCTCAGACTCCATCATTGTGTGTTTCATAGGTGTCTGTCCTTGGCTCTCTTCCCTCTTTATCCTTTCTGCTTTGAAATCCCATGTTTTCAAGTACTTATCGAATTGCAGAGAATACTTCAGTTCTACATAACCTAACACAGCTATTCCTGCACATGTCTGCTGAGTAGAGGAAAAGACAAGGAAAGGAGAGAGAATGAGGGACAACAAAGAAGAGGTGTAACGGGAGGTTCCATGGGGATGGGGAGGAGGCACACCCAATGCAACAACAAAGTCCAAGAAACTGGGGGATGTGTAGGCGGCTGATGTGGACTTGAGCTAAGAGGGGGAAGGCCAGGTGCAGTGGCTTAAGACTGTAATCCCAGCACATGGGAGGCTGAGGTGAGGGGATTGCCTGAGCCCATGAGTTCGAGAACAGCCTGGGCAACTTGGTGAGACTTCATCTCTACGATAAAAATCAAAAAATTAGTCGGGCATGGCAGCACGCGCCTGTAGTTCTAGCTACTTGGAAGGCTGAGGGAGGTAGAAGGCGCATATGAGCCCAGCAGGTTGACACTGGGGTGGAGGTGAGCATGACACTGCACTCCAGCCTGGGTAATGGAGTGAGACTCCAACTCAAAAAGAAAAAAAAAAAAAAAAAAGAGGAAGAACTAGCACCTCAACTTGTCTGCTGCTGTCGTTGAGATTTAGAGAAGGAGAAAAGATGCGAGTGGGATGCTGAAGTCACATGGGAAGACAAGGAGAGGCTAAAAATACAAATGACAACTACAGGCATGGGAAGGAGTCACATTGAGTTAATTCTAAACTCCTTGTTAAGCAGCCCTAGATCCTATGAGATCAGATTAAACCATGAATTTAATTAACCTCGGGAATGGTTGAGTTAGGAAAAACTTAGTATATCTATACCCAAAGGATTCCTTTGGATGAAATTCTTGATAAAGGAAGTTGGGAAATTTTCACACTCCATCTGCCTAAGTATATCTCCCTAGAATACTATAATCAATTGAAATTTAATTGGTATTGTGAGGGAAAAATTCTATGACCAAATAATTTAACTGGGTTAAACAAAGTTAAATAGGTTTGGCCTCTTGGCTGAAAGACTTTATGATGTATTTTTTTTTTTTTTTTTTTTTTT